GAGTTATAAACGATTTTTTAAAGAAAGCAATAATTTGACATTACACCTGATTGTGTAACCTGATTGGCTTTCTATATACCCATATTTCATACACTAGTGTACAAATAGAAATCATCATTTTTAAATATACTAAAATTAAATATAAATATCAAATTATATAATAGATAAATTTAATTTGAAGTTAATAATAAAAGTTTTTTAAAATTTAACTTTTAACACTATATTAAATTTAGTCTTTTGTACTAAATTTAGTATAGCCTACAGATACCCATTAACAATATAACAACTAAAAAATATATATATGCTTATTATAGATAATTAAAGTATATAATTAAATATAATATATTACTATATTTTACTATTATAAAATACAGTATTTATTAAACTTAGTTACTATTAAAATAGCAGTTATATTAAGGCTAGATTTTATTAAATTAGATAGTTCTATTTTTTGATAAAGTACTAAAAATATTATCCTGTTTAGAACTTTTTGAAATAATTATTTTAACAAAATAGCAATTGTTTTTTAATTATTTATAGCATGTTTTTAAAACCTGTTTTGTAATTTAGAAAGTTTGTGTTTTGAATTTGGCATGATTTTCTATATAAACACTATTTTAGATAGCTGTTCTACAAAATTTTTTTCACTTCTTATAATATTGACCAATCGAATTTCAGAATCAGATATAACATGATAGTCAAAACAAAAGTGTTTTGCTTTCTAAGTAAAAAGTTATATACAAAATTAACGTTAAGAAAACTGTGTTAAAATTAAAATTAGAACTAGAATAATATAACATCTACAAGTAAAATTTTATAAGAACCATTTTTTATTAAACTACAGAAGGCAGTTTTCTAATTAAAATTTAGAGCTATTTTTGTTTTTTTGCTTCATCTCAATTTTTATATTATACCTGATCCTAAAATTTGATTGATCATTATTACAAGGAGTGAAAAACATTTTGTGGGATAGCTAAGGGCTTTATAAACACCTAGCATTACTATCACTATTGGTGTTAGAGTTAAAGTTAGGATATAGAAGTTTTTTTTTTGATTTTACATATATTACATTTAATTTCACTAAGATAATTAAAATATGATCATATTCAAACTCTAACCTTAACATTAATAGTAAAATTTTTAGTTGGTGATGCTAGGGTTTTATAAGCACCTTTAGGTTTGTTTATATAGAAGATTATGTGATTATATAATTTTTAGCATCTGCAACAAATATTAATAAGTAAATGTTTAAGTAATTAATTAAATACAAACAAAATATTTAAATTATTATATAATTCAAAAAACAATCCCAATATATAATTTATAAAATTTATTTTCAGACTCTGGGTCGGATAGCATAGTGGTTAACGCTTAGGGGTCATATTCGCAAAGTCGCCGGTTCGAGTCTAGTGGATGACAAAAACTATATTAGAATCATGAATGGTAAGGATCTATGATGAGGAATTGTATCTTCTTCTACTTACGGATAAGGGGATGCTTAAAGCCGGGTCCATTATAAATTTAAATTAACGTTAAGGTTAGGGTTAGTTTAGGGCCTGTATGGACTAATATTAAAAGGTTTTTATATGTAAAATTGTCCTTTCGACATTTTTTCTTAATGCACCAAGATAGGTTTAGATATTGGTTTCTTGTATTTTTCGCATTTTTTACTTTTTTTGCTTTTTCGGGCTGATCCGTGTAAATAAAAATTAGAGATTTTGATTGGTCGTATATAATGGAAGATCTCATAACAGACCTGGCTTTAAGCGACCCCGGATAAGGTACTACAGCGATAAGAGTTGCGTGACATAGCCACTTAAGTCATGCGACACCCAGAAAATCTGACAAGAAAGTCATATGTAAACATAAAGGCCATCCACTATAAAAGGAAAATAGGAACGATACAAGAAATAATAAGAACAAAGGGCACCTGACGACACTACACCAACCAAAAATGGAAAGTAGTTCTCAGGGCAGACAAAAAAAGGCCGACCTATAAAATGACCTGGCGGAATGTGTAGTTCCTTAAAGCTGCCTATGATCTGAAAAGGTACGAGACACCAGCATAGTGGACCTGCTGGAGTCAGTTGAGAAAAACGGACGATGGGAAGAAGGTATAGTTTAGGAAGACCCCTAATATATGTAACATAATGTAAGGATACTGATAAATTGACCTTAATAAATGAGTGCCACACGCGCCCCTAGCAATAATACTAGGGTATAAAAAAAAAAAAAAAAAAAAAAATTTATTTTCAAAAATTACTATAATCAAACAAATCTGCCCATATGTTTTATACAACTTATTACTAGTTTTTTTTAAGATTGTGAAAATTTTCTTACTCTGAACAAAAAATTCTCAACTATTCGATAGAATTTGATAAAATTTTTTATAAATGAGTTCTATAAAATTTTCATCAGATAGTTGTAAAAATTTATCTATAAATTTGAAATATTCTATTTTAATAACTTACGTATATATGTATGTTCAAAAACAATAAATAATATTGATTTGTATTAATCATATATAAATCAATATTTTTAGATAAAATTGTAAATAAATTGATATTTTTGAAAAAATTTAATGCAGTATAATATCATGAATGTTGAGCAAAATTAAGTATAATTTGGGCTGGACAATATAAATTTGACAACCTGTATTCAGTAATGTAAATTGGATCAGCGTATATATCAGCACTCTCTGTATATATGTTGTAAGTGGAAATGGAATTTAAGTGGATTTGGAATTTCCTAGTTAAATTAGGGTTAAGGTTAGGGTGTACATATGATAAAATCAACCCCAAAAACGGGGTTTTATATATAAATTCCGAATCCACTTAAATTCCATTTCCACTTACAACATATATAAAGTACATATAAATTTTTTTTAAGCATATTTTTTTTGCATTTGTATCAATAAAATTTTTTTGAATTTATAACACTGCCTATGTTATCAGAAGGTCTTAACCAGAGGTATAAAACCTTTTGACATTTGTCACATTATCCGTATTTTGTATTATGATTGATAAATTAATATTTTTAATGCATTCTGATTGGTTAATCAATATAAATTGATATTTTTAACTATACTGATTAATCTTTTTGCAAAATCAAATTGATATTATTTACTGTCCCTGTATACAATCTTCCCCAGTATTGCCACTAAAATTTTTTCAATCATATAATATCGACAAAATTCTTTAGAGTTCATTTATATTAGGATTAGAGTTATATTTAGAGATAAAAAGGTCTAGTATATTGTAAAATTACTCAAGAAATTTTTTTTGTTAGAATATAAAAAGCGGTTTCTTAAACAAAATTTTGAGTAAAAAGAGATTTTTGAAGACAAATGGTTTGTTTTAATCTTCATGATCATGTTATGTTACATCAAGGCATGATTTATTATTGGATAATTTTATGTAATCAAAAAAAATTTATTAGTAATTTGGTAGTGATCCTGAGAAAGTTCCTGTATACATTTTACATTATATGATTTTGATACATAAATAATCATGTGACCTGTACATGTCCGTAGAACTACCCCAGTATTGCCACCAAAAAGTACGGACACGTGATTTTTTTGTGGCACAACCCAATCAGATTTCAAGATCAGGTGTAATGTAACACAATCAGGAAAATACAAAACAAACGTTCGTTTTGTCAAAAATCGCTTATAACTCAAAAATCTGTATAGGAAGCCACCTTTCGTGCATTAACAAAAAAATTTCCTTGAACGATTTTACTATTAGAACACTAAAATTGTGAACTTAACATAGACCCTAACCCAACCTTAAACGAACTTAAAGATTTTTTGGCGCGATCACGTGTCCGTACTTTTTTGGTGGCAATACTGGGGAAGATGTGTCCGTAGCACTTCGCCACCAAAAAGTTACCATCACGTGATCTTCGATAAAATTCTTTAAAGCTTATTTAGGTTTGGGTTAGGGTTTATGTTAAGGTTTGGGTTTAGAGGTTTTAATAGCAAAATCGTTTAAAAGGAAAACTTTTTGTTAATGCACGGAAGGTGGTTTTTTATGCAAAATCTCGAGTTACGAACGTTTGTTTTGAAATTTTCTGTTCGTGTAACGTTACACCTGATCTTGGAATCTGATTTTAAAATCACGTGATAATAACTTTTTGGTGGCGATATTGGGGTAGTTGTGTCCGTAGACTTTCCTTAAAGCAAGGTGCGTTAGAATTACTTTTTTGATGCAGTTAGGGTAACTTTTTTGATGCAGTAATGGTGAGTGATTTATATAAATATCAATAATATAATTTATGCAGCATGTAGATCATTTCCAAGTACTTAAATCATATATACGCAAAGTGCTCGCCCTTAAAAAATAAATTTCCGTTAACACTTGTATATTTGCTTATAATTAAAAAACAATTTGTACGTATAAAATTTGAAATATACTCTAGATGCTCTTAAAAGTTGACAATTTATTACTAAATTTAGTTAAATTTTTTATTAAAATAATTATTTGGTTTAATATTTTAAAAATAAACCACGAAAGCAGAATACACAAATTATTTTACAATATATTAATATCTAAATTGGATTTAGGTATGTACAGGATCAATGCCACTGCCACGTGAAAGACATCAGCGCAAATTTGAATTATCGTTATACCCCTTAAAAAAAAACAAAAATCCGAAATAAAAGTGGAAATAAATAAATTACAGAAAAATTATTAGAAAAAGGAAAGAAATCCAAAAATAACAGCCAATCACAAATTTATTAAAAAACAATCTAGCTTACTCTCTTTTTATAATTATCGCATTATTAGGGATGTTTCAAAAAGTTATGGGGAATTAATATCTACAATTAAATAAGAGTACTATAATATTGTATTAAGTCTATTATGAAATCGTCGAAATCTAGTTTTTATTTAATCATTTTATTTTTTGCCTTTTTTTTTTTTTTTTTTCTCTTTTGACGGTTGTCCTGATTATATGCGTAATCTTCATAGTATAGTCGAAGCAAATTAGTAATAATCATTTCAATATTTTGTCATACATGAATCTATATCCATTGTAAAATTTTCAAGATCACTACCAACATGAGCTTCCAAAAAGTATTTGAAATCCTTTTCTGGCTCATTTTTAAAATTTAGCCAGAACGAATGCACCGAAAGACAGGAAAGTAGATAAGCAGCCCTATGTTATATAATGGATTAGTATAATAAAGATCAGGATCAGTCTTAGGACCAATAAATCATAAATTAAATAAAATATCACAATTACTTGAGATCTTCCATCTGACGACGTTTCTTTTGATCGAGAACGCGCTCTTTTTGACTTTGGACATCAGATGGTGACATGGTGGTCGCCTGAAGGTGATGATTATTGCGATTAGAACGGGATGAGTGCCTCTTTTGAATTTTACCGTTCGGCAGCTGTTTTCTGTTATTTGCAAAAAAGAATCATAAATTAATAAACAATCCAAGAATCAATTATTAAATACAATAAGCCAACTTACAACGTATCTTGTTGATGACGCGGTCGCAAGAAAAATTTGGTAAGTTTGCCCTGGTTAACTTTGAGGATAGGTGCATTGCTGGGACCAACTGCATTGAGAAGCTTACTGATTTCACCGCTTACAGTGTTGCGTGGCGTTGCACCACTACAGTTCAAATAAATTACGATTAAAACACAATGGAAACTTATATCACTTTGAATAACGTAAACCGACGGTCAACATTAAACATTTCAAATGGATAAAAAATAATGCTTACTGGAAGACCACTAATTGCCGTCTGGTCATTTCATCAACCAGCTCTTGTAAAGAAAGTGGTTTACTGGTGGCTTCTAGAACCGCAATAACACCAGAAATTATTTTGCTATGACCATGATATACATATTTCGATGTTTTGGATGGCATGATGTGTCAAGATGAAGAAAATAAATGCTAAAACGTTGAATTTATAGTGCACAGTTTGGTAAAAAGCAATTCACAGTAAACTTTCAATGTACAAAGTCGAATGTAAGTACGTAAACAAAACTGAACAGATCAAAATTCGAAGGAATGGAAAGGCTGGATGAGATTCTCGCCAAGTGAACGGGATTCTACAGCAAGTAAGGTGTACCGAAAAAGAAACACTGTTTTTGCCGTATTTTATATATGTATGTCTGTCGCGTCGAAGATATTTTGTGACATGAACCTTTTTTTTTTGGCATTGACCTGTGTTACCGGTTACTCCGGTCTGTGCTGGATACCTTATTGCGTTCCTATAATTAATGCATCATGCGCAATTTTTTCCGCAGGGGTATAAAAATGCAATGCATAAGGGAAATGTATAATTTTAATAATTATCAAGATAACTGTACTTATAGATTTGAAAAGCTTCATCTATGCGCTTTTGGCAGTAATACGTACGTACGTACGTTTATCGTAAATCGAATATTGACATTATTAAGAAAGTTTGCCAACTTCGATTTAAATCGGTTAAAGAATCTTTCGATACAAGAAAGCGTGAACTTTCCTCTAAATTAGTCAAGATCAGAGACTCGCGTTTACTAATTTCACCCCATGCTTCTATTGGTCATCAGTAAATCGCAATTTTGATTGGACATAATATGATCCAAGAAGCAAGATCAGGTGTAACGTAAAAAAACAATTGACTAAACATAGTATATTGCTTATTATACAGATTTTTTAGTCGACTAAACCGATTCCAATTACTAATAAAAAGTATGTATATTATATTATAAAAAAAAGGTGATATGCGAATAGTTCTAGTCAATAAAAATTTGAAGTAAAATCTCGGAGACTTGTAATTTCTATAAACATATGATATAAAAATCTCTTTATCACAGTGGAATCTAAACAAATTTTTATCAAAACAATTTTTATTTGGTATTCAGATTAGTTGGTTAGTTGTCAACTATAGATGCAACAAGTCGATTTTTATATTATATAGTATTATTAACTAAATCAATATCAATACAGATTAGCTTAATTAAAAAAAATATTATAGAATTGTATTAGTTAAATAATTAATAGACAAATCATGAATCACCTAAGCAAATATATTTTTTTATATATAAATTTTACTATAAGTTCGAATGTGCAGCGCTTCTATCTAAAACTTTTTTTTTACTAAGTAAATCACTCTTGGGCTTGTAAGATGTATCTAATAGTAGTAAGAACATTAAAATTAGTCTGGTAGTTCTTGAGAAATCTTTAAAAAACTTCTTTTTTACATATAAAATTTCTTTAAAAAAAATCGATTTTTTTTAAAG